ATTTTCCACCTACAATACTGAATGAATTTAATTTATAAATATCTTTGCTTCAAAGGGAGAGGCCAAAATGCCCATCGCATCTGTCACATCCAGCCGAATTTGTTTGCCTTGATGAAGAGTGCCAAGCTTTGGAATCGGGCAGTAGCCGTCTCATGTGTTTTATCTGTAAGGACTATGGAAGGCACAAGACTCACAAGGTATGTTAGATTAGCAAATGTAATAACCAAATCCATGTCTGTTGAATATTCTCTAGATTTAACAATAATTAATTCAATTTACCATTTTACAGCATGGGCTTGTTGAAGTTGAAGCTGAACACATTCGTTCATCAGTTATAAATGCCATGCAACATGTAAGGAAACTTATGGAAGAAATGAGTGAAGCTGTTCAAAGAATTGGTAAGATTTATGTTAAATCAAATTAGCAGAAAACATTTATGAGTGAACTTTTTTAATTGAATTGGATTTTTTTACAGACAATGTTGCCCAGAGATTAGAAGGAGCTGACCCTGCAAGCATTGCAGAAGATCGACCGGGTACTGCTGCTCTTGCTCGAGCTCGAGTGCAAGATTTCTTTCAACAACTTCGTGATTCTTTGGAGTTGCAGGAGGCTGCAGCACTAACTGCTGTTGATACGCACCTCAGACAACGTCTGTGTACTTTGCAACAACTTCAAACTGATCTTGCTTCATGGCTTAGTCAGGTTGCTTGTGCTACTCTGCAGTGTGAACAAGCAATTCAGCAGGATGATGGCAGAGTCATTGTCGCTGCCCGAGAAATTAAAGAAGCTCTATTGTCTATTGAAAAACAACAACAACAACTCTCTGAATTGTCCCCAGAACAACTGCATCCTGAACCCTGCATACCTATAACATTCACCAAGGTTGGTACTTTCTGCAATATGATATATTACAGCTGGTTTTCTTATATTACCTAATTAAATGTCTATTGTCTGTAAAAAAAAAAATGTTCTGTTTCTTACAGGACAACAGAGTTCACATTGGAAGGAAAATAGAAATGCGAGTTGTCTTCCTAGGTTTAGATGGAGCTGGTAAAACATCAATTCTTTTCAAGCTTAAGCAAAATGAGTTCACTGTGGAAATTCCAACAATTGGTTTTAATGTTGAAAGTATTGAGTACAAGAACTTGAAACTTACTGTTTGGGATGTTGGCGGTCAGCATAAACTTCGGCCTTTGTGGAAGCATTATTATCTCAATACACAGGTACAAGACTTGTCTTGTTATCATTATTTTGATTATTTTAGTCCAATTGTCTTTTGTTCTTTTCAACATGTTTGCCCTATTTCAGGCAGTTGTGTTTGTTGTTGACTCAAGTGACCCAGAAAGATTCCCTGAAGCGCTTGGTGAATTAGCCAAGCTTATATCAGAGAAAGAATTAAAAGATGCCTCTCTACTGATTCTTGCAAATAAGCAGGTAAGTCTTTAGTTTAATTTAGAAAAGTAAGAAGTCATACAATCTCATTTTATGTTGTTTGTTTTAACATCTTTATGTTTCAGGATCTACCAACAAGCGAGTCATTAGAGAGAATAACCGATGAGTTGACATTGAACAAACTCTGTTGTGGTCGCAGTTGGCATATTCAAGCGTGTGATGCTCAGAGTGGAAGTGGTCTCCATGAAGGACTTGACTGGCTTTCAAGGCAAATGGTTGCCTCAGGAGTGTTTGACATTAGTTGAAAAGGGAGAACATTAAAATCTTTTGAAATGACAGAATTTTCTGTCATATTAAAGTTTGAGAGGTATTTAAAAAGGTACAATACAAGTTCTCATAGAATTTCTTACCAGGTAGTACAACGACTCCAGTAAATGGTGTCTCCTGCAACAAGGTAGCTCAATCTTTTTCTATTTCTGGGTAGAGAGAGAATGGGCTTGTATTGTACTCAGGAGTATTTTGAGCTATGACTCTTCAAACTGTACCTGGTCATTCAGTATGATGTAGCCCCACTACAATAGGTAATTGTAGTGTAAGTTGTGAACACATATTATATCATAATGAAACTGTTGTTTTTGTGTTAAATTTCTGTATTTCAATTCTAATTATTTTTGTCTGCTTTTTGTTATTGTTATTTTGCTATTAGCGATTTTTGTTTTGTTTTTTAAAACTGCTGTGATAAGTTTTGGACTCCTTTATTTTTAAAATTTGGAGCTCTAGGGCTAGGTGTATTTTCTTTAATTTAACAGAGTGGTTGTTTTACTTTTGTTTCCCTTAATTAAGGATAATCAATGATAATGGTCTCAATTTAAATGTTGTTGTGAACTACATTGCATAATTATAGCATAGTTTTGGATATCTGAATCATTTAAGGTATCCTACTAATCAATAGTTAGCTAAGCCTACCTTACACTACTCTATGTAGTAGTGAGGTAAATCGTCACATGTTCTTAAGTCTCTTTACACCACAAATGCCGTTCAAGCCGCCTCTCACAGCCTCTTTCTTAGCTGCTATAAGCTTCATCATTCCTTATCAATAACAGTGAGTAAGTATCGTTCATGTAAAATATCTTTGTGTCATAGTTTAGTTGGTGCTTACAATATGCCATTCCGGGAGGTGTAGGGTGAAAACGTACATCTCTCTATAACGGCCTTTTTCAAAGTGCCCTAAGTTCTTCGATTTCTTCTGTTGCAAAATTGCAATGTGACGGTGCTCCAAAGTTTGGCGTCTGGATTTTAGATTCTCATTGAGACTGTCGTCATGCGTGCGTATATTTGTATGTGTCGGTTTATGTTTTGGAAGCAGGCAATTGCTGTAAACTGAAATAAACAAGATCTTTTTGCTTTTGAACAGTCTTGTGTTTTAATACAAAAATAATAATAAAAACAAATATAAAAACCCTTTCTGTCGAAGCCTTGCTGTAAGGGGGGCAGTAGTATAGTCATGTCGGTCATGTCACACCAGTCACACACTGCACCTGACCGTCAGAGAAGACGACGGCAACAGCCTCCCTACGCCACGCCACGCAGTCGGCCCCCCCGGGGAGGACCGGGAAGGGGGCGGGGCAGGAGGACTGGGACAGGTGCGGGCAGAAAGGTGTATGGGGGAGAGGGGGAGGGGAGGGGGGCGGCGGAGTGCCGCTACGCCGGCAACTAGTGGCCGGGCCGCGCCGAGCCGAGCGCCCCCCTGCAGCGGCCGCGGCCCGCGACGCGGCGCACCAGTGAGTACCCAGGCTCCGTCCACGAAGCCCCTTTTCCGCGCCGCGTCCCAGTCGCTCCGCCCCGCGCCGCGCGCCGCAGTCCGCGAGTGCAGTGTGGTGTTGTTGTAGTGCAGTGCACAGCCCAGGAGGATTACCCCGTTGGATCTTTTGAGCACTCCACTCCGCCCCGCCCCGCCGCCAGGATGATGACCGAGACGGCCGTGACGGTGACCACCGGGCACCCCCAGCAGGCGCACCCCCAGCAGCACCCCACCGTCAAGACGGACCCGGGCCAGTCGCCGGGCAGCCTGTCCTGGATGCGCATCAACGTCAACTACTTCAAGACCCTGCCCGGCATCCTCAAGCTGGTGCAAGTGGTGAGCATGCACTCCGTGTTGGGGAGGGGGAGGGGGGA